AGGAGAAGTCCTCAGAGGACATGAGAGCCCTGAAGACTGGGCTTCTGAGTTGCCTGGACCCCATGGGTTTATTCCCTATAGGTGTGTGGGCCTCACTGTTGCACTTTCATTCTGAGCACAGCCTTTCCACTAAAATTTTAAGTATTTGTGATAGCAGGTAACAGATTTATGGAAGGTGAGGGGTGGGGTTAATGTTTCGTAGCTCTTGTTCTTAGCAAGTCATTTTATTCAATGTCTTTTAGTTAGTGCAGTAGGAGACCCACATGCTACTCGAATCTGGGCATGGTAGCCACCTTCACATTGCAACATGGCAATGTGAGTGCAGGCTGGAAGAGGAGGCACAAAGGGGGTATGATGCATGTCTCCTCTTTGAACTGACTTACATTGCTGTGGAAAAGTGGACCCAGGGCTGGTGGAGAAATATTCCACTGCTATTTTTTTTTTTACTGTGCTTTTTCCTTAATGCCTTTGCTTTAAACAAAGTGTGTCCTTCGGGTGATGAGTAAAAGTAAATATGTTGTTGGGGGTTTGTGTGTCCTGGTGTTGCAAATGTTGAATGTGAGTTCATCTTCTGGGCTCCCATATACCACATATATATGAAATAAATCAGCAAAACCCTGAGTGGGAGCCTGCAGGTTTGGATTAAACTCAGTTGTTATGTGAGTGCTATTTCAGGAGCTCACTGATCTTTCTCAATTTACTCACAGGTTTACAGTTGTGTTCCAGTGAGTTGTGGTTGCCTTAGGAGCCTCACTGAACCATTAGATTAACTTTGTTTTAAGTTTTATTTGGCTGCAATGTTAGACCCTTGAGTGTATTCAGTCTTCTGCAGCTCTTAAACCTGTAGCATGCATTGCCTACTTTCAGTTGTGGAGAACATTGCTGATGGCTTGGCATCTTTGCTGCACTCAGAATAAAGACATCAGGATGCCAAAAATCTCTGCCCTCTGCAGTAGACCGGTAGAGTGAACTCTAGCATTAGTATGTACTGCTAAAATGGAGCTGAAAATTCATAAACTGCATGCATTGGTCAAGATGAGTCAACTTGGAGAGATCTGAATTGGTTAAAAAAAATTCCAGTATGAGGTCTGCATGCAGATGTGGACTAGTCAGTTTGATTCAATTTAAGCTGCTATATGCCAGATACTCTGCTAGATGCTGGACACAGGACAACAAAGATGAAGCAGTTCTTGCCCTCAGGGAACTTGCATACAGTCTACGAGGGGTACCCAGCATGTACATGGTGGATGAGTAAGTATGAATTAAACACAGAATAGTTTTGGGGGGGGGAGCACTGAGAGCTGGGGAAGGGGAGAGGTAAACAAGGAAAGGATTCTTGTAGGAGGTAGTACTTGAAAGCCTTGATGAGTATGAAGGATTGTAAGCATGAAGGTAATCAGCTAAGCGATGCTGTGGATAGAGCATGGAGGCAAGAAGACCTGAGTTCAAACCATCTCAGACTCTTGCTAGCCATTGACCCTGAGCAAATTACTTAGCCTACGTCTGCCTCAGTTTCCCTTACCTGGAAAAAAATAAAAGCATCTACATCCCAGGGTTATTCTGAGGATAAAAAAGAAAATATTTGTAAAGTGTTTTACCAAACTTAGAGTGCTATTCTTTGTAAAGATACAGACACAGGAAATGCTCAGTATGCTTGGAACTTGGATTAGCTGGTACCATTCCTGAAGTGTGGACTCTGTTTCAGGGATACAGGACCTCTCGGTGATACGTAAGGGAGGAAGATTTAGGGCAGGTTTAAGGCCACTGTAACATACTAACTCCTTAGCCCTGTATTTAGCTAAGCTCAGTTTGAGCCCTACTCACTCAATAGTATTTGATGTGTAATGGAGGGGACTAGCCAATGATGGTCCAGTCCTGGGCAATGGGGAGACATTCTTTCCTGATTCCAATCCAACCTCTGGGATGAAAAGCCTCCAAACTGGCTTCAGAGGCAGAAAGACTCATGGTGGCTGAGCCAGAACTGAGTATGTAAACAAAAGAGGTCAAGCAGATTATACCACCCTCTCTTTCTTAGTGGCTTTTGAGTCAGGAGAATTACTCTGAGCCATGGGCTGAGGAATGGGCACCAGTTGACATGTATCTCACTTGGATACTCTGTGTCCCTGAGTGTATGGTGCCACTGTTTCATTTGTGTTTATTTTTTCCTGGTCTTAGGTGAAGTATTCTTCGGAGATGGAATCACTCAGAGCCATTTAAAAGACCCCATTAATCTAGTGGTAGACTGACCCAGATAAAACACCTTACCCTGTAATCAGTCAGTCAAGCCAAGTAGGGAAGCAGCTTGTCCACTGGTGAAGACTTGCCCCAAAGTAAAATTGGCCAGAATTCCTGGAAAATAGAAAATAACTCCCATGACCAGGATTAGCCATGTAACCCTTGGCCCCATGTCTTCCTTAAACGTGCCTCTTACCACTTCTGTGCTTTGAATTTAGTCCTCCTATCCCCAGGGACTTTGTGAATGTGCAAAAAAGAGAAACTCCCAATTGGGGGAATGTTTCATCATTTCTGTCATTCCTATGCATTTTCAGTACATCTTGTAAAAACTAATTGATATCAGCTGGTTGATGGATATTGGAGAGCAAAGCAGATAGGGGAATTATAAGCAATAGTATTAGAAACTGCACCCCTCAAAGTTAACCTTAGAGCCCTGAAGGGGAGCAGTGGTATTCTCCCCTCTGAGAACCTACCCTGCTAGTTCACTGTAAATAGGGTGAGTCCAGAGGGAATGCCACAGATATATTTCTCTATCGATTCTTCAATCTAAATTCAAAGCACAGAAGTGGTAAGAGGCACGTTTAAGGAAGACATGGGGCCAAGGATTACATGGCTAATCCTGGTCATGGGAGTTATTTTCTATTTTCCAGGAATTCTGGCCAATTTTACGTTGGGGCAAGTCTTCACCAGTGGACAAGCTGCTTCAAGGAAAGCTGTGATTTCCTGCATATCCCAACCCAACTACACTTCTTCCATTGTTGTTCAGTCATTTCAGTCATGTTTGATTCTTCGTGATCCTTTTTGGGATTTTCTTGGCAAAGATACTGCAGTGATTTGCCATTTCCTTCTCTAGCTCATTTAACAGATGAAGAAACTGAGGTAAACAGAGTTAAGTGACTTGCCTAGTTAAGTCACACAGCTAATAAATGTCTGAGGCCAGATTTGAACTCAGATGTTCCTGGCTCCAGGCCTGGTGTTCTATCTACCTAGCTGCCACCTAAACATTTCAGTTGTTCAGTTTTAAAAGTTCAGATAATTTAGGCTTATCTGAGGTCACCAGTCAATAAAACGATTTAGGTGTGACTTAGACATGGGTCCTGGGATCTCCTTGGTCCCTAGTGCTCAAAGGACCTCACAGGACATCTGGTTCAACACTTTTACTCTACAGATGAGGAAATTAGAGCCTCAAGATGGGAAGACTTGCTGAAGATCACATTGATAGGGAAGGATTTTAACCCAAATCCTTTGATTCCCAAGTGAGTGATCTTTTCTCCATTAGCCATCACTCCTTCCATAATTACATAAGGCTGCCCTTTAGCTGATTTTGATTTCTTTCTGGAGGGAGGCAGGAAGGTTTTGACTGGCTCATATTCAAGGAGGGGGGGCACACCAGGTGCTCCACCTATTTTTGACCACTCAGAGAGCCCTACAGATCCTGTTACTCTGCATCCTCTTCCTCCCTCCCCCAATGAGTAATAAATAGAACTTGTCTGTCTCCACTGCAGGGTGGTACTGGCCTTCGTTTGGCTTCTGCTTTTTCCCTGTGCCATTTCATAGAAGTCTGTCCATATGTGTTTGTATTCTGCATATTCATCAGGACTTTGGATATATTCCACTATATTCAGATTTCATAAGCTGTTTAGTCACCTACCAAACTATTGACATACAGACTGTGTTGAGTTTTTATGTTGTTTTGCTTTTACAAATAGTACTGTTAGGAATAGTTTATATAGCTATGTCTCTCCCTACCACCCTTCCCCATAATAGGGGAAGTTGTGGGAGCCCATTTCAGGAAGCTTTCGGATCAGGGTTACTGAGTCCGAGAGTATGAACATTCAGTCATCCACTGTATAATTGAATATTGTTTCTGAAAAGCTAGAATTAACTCCTAACTCCACCAGCAGCCCTTGGCCAGTGGTATTTGAGCTGCATTAGGGAAGGCCTATCTTCCAGGAATATAGAGCTGACAGTCTTGTTGTGCTTGGACCACACCTGAAGGACACACTGTATTTAATGAGGAGCACCAGGGTCCCATGTAAACTCAAGAGATATTTTATGCAAAGCACTTTACAAACCTTAAAATCCGATATAAATGGCAGCTATTATTATTTATAAAAGGGCCAAACAAATGTGAGTTGTTATTGTTAAGGCCAATATGGGGCAGAGGATGGAGAGGTGGCCTTAGAGTCAGAAAGACCTGGTCTCCAGTCCTGACCCCTGCTGACTGTGTGACCCAGGGCAAGTCACTTAACTCTTTGGTGTCCTAAGCAGTTTTATAAGACTGTAAGTCATCGGAGGGAGCTTCCTGGCTAGGAGTTCGAGTTCACAGACGAAATCACCGATGATAAGTGAAAAGCTAGCACTTTTCCAGTTTTTTCTAAGAAGCTTCAGAGGGGCAAAGGGAGAGGTAGACGATGTCCCCTAAGCCACGACTCGTCCTACTCCTCTTTCCACTCCTGGATTCTAAATTAGCCTCCAAAGACTGAAAACAATAACTAGGAACCGATCAGACACACCCAGTCTCCCTCGACTCAAGCCGCCCCCCAGCTCTCCCTGCACCCCTGTCCCCGTCCGAAAAGCTGAGGGGCTGCTCAGTTCGGAGAAGCTGCATTTCACAGCCCGCGGCCACGTGGAATGCCCTTAGCCCTCTGGCCTCAGCCTCAGCATCGTGGCCCCGGGGATATTCCCAGGGGGCCCCGCGCGGCTGGCCCGCCTGCGCCCCTGGGAGGGGCAGGCGGAGGGCAGGAGGAGGGACAGGCGGGTCCATGGGCAGGAAGACGTGCCCAGAACTACAAGTCCCAAGAAGCGCAGAGGAAGGAGCGGGGTGGAGTCTAGTCCCGAATTCCCGGGATCCGGCTTGGGCCCAGGAGGAGGGGGAGGGGCCCGGAGGGGGAGGGGCCCGGGCTCGGGGGCGGGGGCATCTCGGCGGCGGCGGCGGAGGAGGAGGCGGTGGAGGAGGCGGCATCTGGCGTTGCTGGGGCGGCTGGGGCCGGAGCCGGAGCCGGAGCCGGAGCCGGATCCTGAGCCCGATCCTAAGCCCGAGCGGGAGCGGGAGCAGGAGGACGGCCGGGGGAGGTGGGCCCAGAGCCCAGGCGGGAGCCCGGAGAGGAGCACGAACAGCCGGAGAGAGAGAGGAACTGCAGCGGCCGCGGGGCCCGGGGGCTGCCGGCCGGGGCTGGGCCAGAGAAGGCGCCGCCACCGCCACCGCCACCGCCGGGGCTCAGCGTTCCCGGGTAGCCCCGGCGGCCGGAGCAGCCCCGATCGCGCGCTCTCCTCCTCCATCCGCTCCTCCTCTATCCCCCTCCTCCTCTCTCTCCTCCTCCTCCTCCTCCTCCTCCGCCGCCGCTGCCGCCTCCCTCCTCTGTCCAGCCGAGGCGCCCGGAGCCCGGCGCGGGGGGGAGCCGGCTGCAGGAGCCGGCCCCGCGCCCCGCGTCTCGCGCCCCGCGCCCCGCGCCCCGCGGCAGCTCCATGGCTGCCCTGCGGCGGCCAAGCGCCTAGGCTGCCGGGGCAGGCGGCCACGCGGGCGGCCGGAGCCGGAGCGGCTGCGGCGGTAGCTCGGGAGCCCGAGCGAGCAGGCTGAGGAGGGAGCAGCAGCCGCGGGAGTCGAGGAGAACGGAGCTCCAGCCAGCGCCGGCCCCGCGGGGAAGCGGCCGGCGACTTCTGGGGCAGCGGAGGGGACGAGGAGGGGGCTGAGGCTGCAGTGGCCGCGGAGATCGCGGGGATCTCCAAGCCTCGGAGAGAGCGAGAGCCGCCCGCTGCTCCTGGCCCTGGCCTGGCCCCGCCGCTGTATGGGGGCTCAGTGCCCCCCCGAGCGCCCTCTGACCGAGCCCCCCGAGGCCGGCCTCCCCGCAGCCAACCCGGGCCATCGAAGGAGGAGGAGGAGCAGGAGGAGGAAGAGGGGACGGCGTGCGGGCGCACAGTCGGGCTGACTGTCGGACGGCCGGACCGTGGGGTCCGGCGCTTTTGCACCATGAACTACCAGCAGCAGCTGGCCAACTCGGCTGCCATCCGGGCCGAGATCCAGCGCTTCGAGTCCGTGCACCCCAACATCTACTCCATCTACGAGCTGCTGGAGCGCGTGGAGGAGCCTGTACTGCAGAGCCAGATCCGGGAGCATGTCATCGCCATTGAGGGTAAGGAAGAAGCTTCCGCGCCGCCGGCTGGCACAGCCCAGCCCTAGTCGGGGGGCGGTCTGGGACAGGGGGTCCTGAAATGCGCCAGGCCGCCAGTGCGTCTTGTGGGACTGCCCGGGCTCCCCCAGGCCAGGTCGGGGCGTTCCTGGCCCCAGTTGCTCGGTTGCTCCTGAGGAGAGACTTCCTTTCTGGAATGCATTTAGAGGCGTGTAAAATGTGTTTTTTCTTTCCTCTGGATCCCAGGAAACAGGGCTTGTATTCTTTCTCGGCACGACCCAGGGAAAACCCGAGTCGGAGAGTGCGGAATGGGTGGATGGGATGGATAGATGGATGGATGGATGGATGGTCGGGCTGCGGGTGGGTAATCAAGGGGGCAGAGATCTCTGTAAAAGAAAAAAAGAAGAAGAAGAGTGGGAGAAAAGTGGGGAGCTGAGAACCTGTCAGAAAAGAATTGGGAGAGTTCATTGAATAGTGTCCATAGTTCCGCCACTTCTAGAAAGTTGTATTAAATGGACCTTGAAGGGTCCTCCCGCAGTGTAAAAGCCCCTTCTCTTTGTATTTCAGAGATTGCACCATGTGTGCTGTGCATCCCCTGGAATCCGTGATGGGGGATGGGGGATGGAAACGAGCTTCTGTGACCTAGGTGTTTTGGAATGGAGTGTCTCTGTCCTCCGTGTTTATGAAAATAATTCTTCTGTAGCTGCTTATGGAAATGCCAGTTGCTTTGACTTGCTAGGGTTACTACTGTAAATCCCATCCCCCATTTTGCTGGAAACAATGCTAAGTCGGCTTTTGGATCAGTAGAGTGGACCAAGTCAAGAATGTGTGCATTTCAGGGGCATCTGAGGCTAGGACAGCAGGTCTACATCTCTTGTGTTTGAGCCGGATTTGGTGTGTTGCCAGATTTGATTGTCTGAATCTTTGTTCTGGGAAGACTCACTCAGGATAGTGGATGGGGCTGCAGCCTGCCTGAGCTGCTCACTTCTCAGAAAGCTGGGTCCAGAGCAGCTCTTCAGGTTGGCATTCTCAGGGTTACAGCTGCTCCTGGTAAAGTGCGTGTCCCATGTGGTGGGCCAACACTCTTTGCCAGGATGTTTGAGCATCATTGGCTCAGAACATTTGCAGGCTACAAACCTCTCCACCCTTGCCCCTCTCCAATTTCCACAACACTTCTCCATGAGAGGGCCCTGCTCACCTGGAGACATCACTTTCCCAAGCTAAAGACTCAAATGGAAATGAAACCTCCAAGGTAAGAAACTGGCCTGGCTAAGTTTAGTTTACCCACTTGGATTGAATAATTGGGGAGTTATCTGCATTCCCAATTCCTGTTCAGTTGCTTTAGGAAAAGACTGTCAGCTTGAGCACCCACTCCCAGAGCTGGGCTGAGCTGGCCTCACTGGTCAGCTCTTAGGTTAGTCCCACTGGTTAGATTGTTTCCTGCCCCTTCTGCACACCTGACCTTGATTGTGTGGCATAGACTCGGAGAGTCGAAATCCCTTTTTCACAGTAGCCCTAGTCCAGCATAATATCAAACACCTAAGAGAAATCTGAGCCCCTTGAAAACTGAACAACTGCGTCGTTAAGCCATAGAGAAAATGTTTTGGGGATGGGCTGGCTCACTGCTCACGGCTTTGGCTTACCAGTCTTTCTGCCTCTATTGGGGGTAGTTTGGGTGGGAGGTGAAGAGGTAGGTTCTATTATTGGCACTGGAAGGTTTGAAATCTGGATTCTCTAAGGAGTGTTTGCTTTGTTTCTGAAACATCAGTTCATTTGCTCTGCAAAGATGGATGGACTGTTGCATTCCTCAGTCAGCATTTTAGCAACTTAAGCAAGATACTGGCATCATGGACACATGTGCTAGTGTTTTGATAAAGCCCATGCTGTTTTCCAGGGCTTTATCCAAGGGTCCAGTGCCTCTCTCCTAGAGATCACCCTGGGATATCCAGTTAGATTCTTAGCTATTTGGGACATTGGGGATATTACCAGTCTTCTGGGCTCACAGACACGTTTCCTCCTTTGCATGACCTTCTATCAGATGAGAGGGGGAAATAGTTTTTTCTGTAGGAGTACCCTCATTCCCTACCTTAAAACCTGGTTTTGTTATTAAAGTTAGTTTGAGGTGTTTCTCTCTCCACCCCACCTCCTTTGCTATTATATTTTCTACTCAGGGGATAGACTGATTTGCAGTAGAGATTGTTGCTTCCCATGGCACAACATTGACTTGCCCACAGGAAACTGTGCCCTAATGGTGACTTGTTAATATCAGATGCTTCTAAGTTCCTGGGAGATGCCAGCACCAGCTTGTTCCTGCAAACAGACTTTTAGTTAGCAGAGGCTTGCAAGAATGCATCGATCTCCCATCAATTTGTGATCTGGGGAGAATGTTCAGTCAGAGCTCCAGGCTTTCCTAACTGGGGAGGTGGGCTGTGTGGGCAAGTGTAGAGGGCTTAATTTGTGATTTCCCTCTCTCCATCTGGCTGTCTCCATGAAGACTCAGGACGGCTGATGAAATGCTTAGAAAGCTGTTGCTTGGTGATAAGCAAACATATCTAAGGGCGCCTTGTCACTGTGGAAGGGCTGTTGGCTTCTGCATCAGGGACCCAGCTTCTTGTGAACCAGGGTAGAGCAGGGGCTTGAGGTGGCAGCAATGCTTTATCTCAAGAAACAAATGTGAGCAGTTTGTCTCCTTAGCACAAGGAAAAGTATTTGATGGCTTTGTGTGTGTGTGTGTGTGTGTGTGTGTGTGTGTGTGTGTGTACCCGCAAGAGAGAGAGAGAGAGAGAGAGAGAGAGAGAGAGAGAGAGAGAGAGAGAGAGAGAGAGAGAGAGAGAGTAGAGAATGTTCCTGGAGCTTAAAAAACACCCTGACCACTTTCCTTTTGCCACATTAAGTCTTAGCTACTTAGCTTTGAAGCTATGTCATTGATTTTTTTTTTCAGTGTCTATGATTTCATTGGTGTGGGGATAGGGTGGGAGCAAGAACTCCTTTCTAACCAATAGAGATCATCATCTGCTCTGTAATGTCCATGCAGCCTTTGAGAGTTGCCAAAGGAACTGAGAATTAAGGTGACTTACCCAGGGTCACATAGTCAGTATGTGTGAGAGACAAGATTTGAACCTGGAGTTACCTAAGCGATCTTAGCTCTAAAGCCAGAAAGGATCATGGCAGTCATCTGGCCCACTCCCTTCATTTTAGAGGTGAGGAAGTGCAGGCACAGAAAAGGGCAACCATCTGCTCTTGGTCACGTGTTTAGTAAGTGGCAGAGCCAGCATTTAAACTAGGCCCTCGGACCCCAGAGTCTTTCATTGTGCTTTAGACTCAGGTGGGACTATCTCTCATCGTGTTTATTTTGCCTGTACTGTGTTCAAAGCAATGGAGAGGATACTGGATACTGAGTCAGAAAACCTCGGTTTAAGATTATGTTTGAGACTGCAGGTAATACGGAGCCATTGCAGTTCAGTTTGAATGGAGGAATGACATGATCATCTATGTTTTAGGAAAACCACTTTGGCAGCTGTGCTGAGGGGGTATTGGAGAGGAGAGAGGGTAGAAGAAGGGAGATCAATTAGGAGGGGATTGCAATAGTCTAGACCGGGGCTTCTTGGACTTTTTCCACTCTAGACTCCTTTGCATGGCCTGAGGGCAAGCACAGTGCAGAGTGCCTGCTTTGTGTTCAGAATCCAGGCTGCAGTGAAGGTGCAACACAGGTAAGCACTGCCAGAAATAATACCTCGGATTTAATATGTTTGATTTTTAATTAATTTTTGGTCATTGCCCATTCAAAAATCTTTTACTGTTGTCAAGGTTGTGACCCACAGTTTAAGAGGCACTGGTCTAGACTAGAGATGGTGAGAGTCTGGTCTAAGGCCCTGGTAGATGGGTTGGAAGAAGGGGACAGATATGAGCAATGTCATTTAAGAAGGAACAAGATTTGACCTATTGGCTTTGGGGTATTGGTGGGACATGCAGTGTCTGGTCCCAAAGGCAAGGCTGGGGCTTTCAATTTGGAAGTTATTTGCATCGAGTTGATGATGGAAGCCATGGAAACCTTTAAGGATGCTGGAGGTGAGAGAGATAATAGATGGTGAAGGAGGTTCCAAATGCAGTCCTGTCACTTGCTATCCATGTGAACTTGGACAGGTCACCTCAACCCTTTGGGGCTCAATCTCCTCTTCTGTAAAATTCAGCTGTTGGCCTAGCCTGCCTCTGAGGTCCCTTCCAACTCTAGATCCATAATGCTGTGAGAACAGTCCCTTTAAGAAGAGGATGGGGAGACAGTGAGGCATCAGAAGGAGGATTAGAAAAGCTTGGGATCTGTGGAGCCTTGCGAGAAGGTATCTAGCAATATGTGGAGGGGCCAGCACCATTGAAATTTGCAGAGATCACAGAGGATGAGGACAAATTTATAGGAAACTATTGGGTTTAGCTAGCAATTAGGTCAACGGTGACCTTGGAGGGAGCAGATTCAGAAGAACGATGGGGGTGGGAGCCTGCATTCAAGGGGCTGAA